CTTTCTTTCCTTTCTTTCCTTTTTTTTTTAAAAGTAGGGTCTAGGCCCAACATGGGGCTCAAACTCATGGCCCTGAGATCAAGAGTTGCATGCTCTACCACCTGAGCCAGCCAGTTGCTCAAGAGAGCATTTTCTATTAAAAACATGATATTTTAGGGCACCAGGTGGCTCAATCATTTAAGCATCTCACTTTTGGTTTCAGCTCAGGTCGTGATCTCAGAGTCCTAATCTCAGAGTTGTGAGATTGAGCCCCTCCTTGGGCTCCTTGCTCAGTGCAGAGTCTGCTTTTGACTGTTTCTCCCTCTCCCTGTGCTCCTCTCCCCTGCTCTCTCTTTCTCAAACAAATAAATAAATCTTTTAAAAAACCATCTTTGGGGCGCCTGGGTGGTTCAGTCATTAAGTGTCTGCCTTTGGCTCAGATCATCGTCCCAGGGTCCTGGCATCGAACTTTGCATGGGGTTCCCTGCTCTGTGGGAAGCCTGCTTCTTCCTCCCCCACTCCCCCTGCTTGTGTTCCTGCTCTCGCTCTCTCTCTCTGTCAAATAAATAAATAAAATCTTAAAAAAATAAAATAAAAACTCATCTTTTACCTAGTTAACCAGGGTGTAAAATTCAGTGTCATCTTAACTCCTCCTCCTTCACCCCACACTCAGTTAATCTTCAACTCCTGTCTAACAAAACCTCTAAAGTAGGTCTCTGTCCTCGTTTCCATTCCTAGAACCATACAATGTCTCTGCTGTGTCTGGACACATAATGGCAGCTTGAGAGAGTGGCACCAGTGTCAAAATTCAGAGTAAGTTATAAATGACATGGACCACATTTTAATGTAGTTATTTCCTAAACACTGCCGGCAGTCTCTTACAGACATGCCTTTGAGCACACTGCTTCCTCTCTCTGGAATGTCCTTCCCCTTTGTTCCTTCCACATGCATCTTTCCAGACCTAAGTTACATGTCATTGACCCTGTGAAACACGTTGAAACCCTCCAGGCAGATTGAGGCATCTTCAGCTTTGTCCTCTTACACTACTCTTCACTTTCTTCTGTTAGAGTATGTATCCTGTTCAACTGTAATTGTTCTTTCCTTATTTCCTTCCTTCCCTCCGCCCTCCCTCCCTCCCTCCCTTCCCTCTTCCCTCCCTCCCTCCCTTCCCTCTTCCCTCCCTCCCTTCCTCCCTTCCTTCCTTCCCTCCTCCCTCCCTTCTTCCCATTCCTCCCTCCCTCCCTCCCTTCCTTCCTTCCCACTTCCTTCCTTCCCTCCTCCCTTCCTCCCTCCCTCCCTCCCTTCTTCCCATTTCTCCCTCCCTCCCTTCCTCCCTTCCTTCTGAACTGGACAGATCCAATAGGCTGTAAGCTGCTAAAAGTTACAGCTCGTAGCATTAAGTGTTCTGTCCCCAGAACATAGCCTCATGCCTGATCTATAGCCGTTGTTCAGTGCATATAAGCTTGAAAGTGTATATGAGAATGAAAGCCTACAAATGCTCCTGGTTGTTGCCATTGGAGAATAATTTATTTGTGTTCTTTCTCCAACAAAATACAGAGAGAATTTGGTTTAACTTTCAAAAGTATACTCTAACAAGATAAAAGAATGTCTCTCTTTTGCCCTTTTAGGCTGACCTTTTGAACCCAAAGCCAATTTACTCAAATTAAGGGAGTTGATGTGATTAGTGTTAGGAAAGATTTTATGTAATGGGATTTGGTTTACTTCAAACAAATTTGGATGAATATGAGTCTCATTTTAACATTTTAATTCATTGCTGACTCTACAGGGTAAAGGGGATCATAACCCTTAGTCCAATTTCAGGATGATGAATTGAGGCTTTTTTCAACAAGGGAGAGGATAAAAGATGACTTGCTTCAGTGATAGTACTGCAAATTGCATTTATATTTACAGTAAGTAAATTCAGTGCCATAATAGTTGATATTTTTGCTAAAACAGGATGTTGGTGTCATTATAGTGATATTTGCTAAAACATAAATTACAGATTAATTATTAAGTTAAAATAAATTATTAAATATAAACCTACTCTGTGCTCTGAATCATGTGGTATAGAACAGATGCCTAAAATGATGCTCCATCCTGGCAACGATGTACTTAATATAAACTTAGTGTGTTAAGAAAAAGGAGAATCACTGGGCAGTGCCTATCTCCTGAAGAGAAGAAAAGAGAATCATTGCTAAATAATCTAAGAAGTTGTCAGGAACATTGATCTAAATATCAGTCTGGGAATTCTAGATAGGAGAATATCGTGAGCAAACGTTCTCGTATATGATGTATAGCAGTTGCTCAATAAATATATGCTTGAAAGTCCGTGTATGAGATCAAAGTTTTAAAATCTCAGTGCTCTTTACCTTCCCACTGATGTTGGGCTGATGTTACAGAAAAGTAGGATTTGAGGTTGTATAGTCAGCATGAGGACATTTACAGAGCACCTAGAGACATTAAACTCTGTGAAGTGTCGTAGAGAGACATCATGAATCCTTAAGCAGGAAAAGGACATGATGAAAATAGGAATTACAAAATATTATTTTGACAGTTGTGAGATATCCTGGGTTTGGCAGAAAGTGGAGGCAGGATGGTGAATTGAAACAATGTTACATTTCATTTTTTTGCAGCAATTATACTGTTTATATTGCTCACCTACTTATGGTGCTCTAACAACTTCATGAAGTTTCTCAGTCTTTTTTTATTCCCCTAGTCTAGTGTACATCTAGTTTAGGAGTTATTTAGAACCCTAATTTAACTATGTCAGACATAGTTTTAATAGCATGAAGTAGAGAAAAGAACAAAGGACCGCTGGTTCCGCTCTCATTTAGGCCACAACTACCTGCAGGCCTGTGAGCAGGTCACTTGATGTCCTCAATTTGGAAATAAGAGCGATGACCTGGATGAGCTAAAACCTTTTCAGTTGAGCTTTCTGCAGACCAAAAGAGTTCTTGGAAGCTTCCAAAATATTCACCTTATCGTTGACCAGCAAAAGTACTCAGCACACATTTTAATGCATACTAGGAAAAATACATCTTCCACTCCTAAAATTTGGCAGAATATTCCACCCTCCCATAAGAGAGATGGTAGGTTCATAATGATTACAATATATAGGCAATTACCTTTTCCAAGAATGTGTTAAAATATAGAAGAAAATAGCAGAAAATTAACCCTTGTAAATGAACACAAAGTGCTTCCTGTATAATTTAAATGTTTTAAATAAAGCTACTTATTTGCATAATGATGCTTTGGAAAGATATAGCTTAAAAATAACAATGCTATTCATTGATTTGAAATTAAAACAAAAATAATGTGTAAATTAATCTGGAAAAATGTCATGTTACTCTATAATTAGATGTATTAGTAAACGTGTGCTATCACTTATTAAGCTAAATTTGGCATAGAAATATATTTCAAGGTAATGAATCTATATTTTCTATTTACATATTGCAAATTTTTATTTATCATCATGAGTTTGTTAACCTCTGTAATATGTATACAGTTTATATGACAGATGTTTAAAAATAAGTAGCTCTCTAGTATTACTTATCTAAATTGAAGTTTAAATTTGATCACTGTAGGAAATGATTTATAGGAAACATTGTGTGAAATATATTGGAATACCCAGAAAAACCCTGCAGATAAGAATTTCTAATGTCATAAAACTAAATAAATTATTATAGTGTCTAGACAGTGTCCAAAGACATGGTAAAAGAATTTTTTTGATAAATTGGTTTTATAGACCAAACAAAACATTTGATTTGTTTGAGCATCACTTAATTTTCCAAACCAGTGAAATAATGCACAGCATAAACTTATTTACTTGAGAATATTAAAAGGAAAAAGATATTTTATCCCTTGGAGTATTTTCCTTTAGTCAACAAACACTTGTAAGTTTTAGAAAATTTTTCCTAGTAATCTGGTCTAAGTAGCACTGGCATTGTCATTATTTGGGGGTTTGGCAAAAATGCAGATTTTTCTGCATACATAACAGATTTCTGGCCATATCTCTGAAATCTGTATTTTAAGAAAGTTTCTGGGGAGCTTTTTGTGCATAGTGAATGTAAGAACTACTAAATTCTCCTCTTCTTATCCTTCTTTTGGAAATTTTTGCTTTTCATTTGATGCGGCCTATTGGAGAATGGAATCCTGAATTTGAATGTTGAAGAACAGGATCTGCTTGGATATCCAGAAAAATCTTGAAATACCCAGTTGTTTTATTATCCATAAATAGGCTTTTCTATCCTTCAGTTTCTGGTTGAACTTGAGGTTAATAAATATGTTCTTTTCAATTGTTAAATACTATGAGTGTTCTATACATTTGGTTATATAAAACAAAGTATTAGATACTGGAAACTTTCTTTTGTGTTACTTTCAGAACACACATTTTTCCAGAAGGAATTTTCCCATAAGTTATACTTGGGCATTAATGATTTCTTGCCTTCTTCAGTAGCTTAATTCAGTGATCATCTTTTGCTCATATCAACACAAGAATCTATGAATATTGAAAATCAAGTTTGTTTCAGTTCCTCATAACCAAATCTTCTCATTTGTTAGCTCCCTATTTACACCACAAGGCCTATTAAATTAACAGAAAAATGCCAGTGTATTTCATTCAAATTTTTTTTCCCTTTCTAATGGTCTTTTGAGTTTGTGTTACCTGGATTTTGGACAGCATCCTTTACTATATTAAATTTTGGGTTTCAGAAAGAAAGGGACCTCTCACTTTTTAGCAGATTTTATCATGTAGTCTTGTAATGATTTCCTGTGTCACCATTGTTCTCCCACCATCCTGTTTCCCTTTGCCATTTTCAGAGTGTCTTGGTGACTGTTAGATAAGTTTGAAGCTTTCTGTCCAGCAATACCTTTGATACCTTGGGGTTGCTCAAATGTTAAGCCTGATGGATCTAACTGTGGTAAAGTCTAGTAAGAATTGTTCTTACAACCGGGATGATTCATGGGAGGACAGTTGACTTATTTTTTTATGTATCTTGTCTCTCTTCTTCCTGACTTGACAGCTCCCCCAACGGTTCGTATTGTGCATTCAGGCTTGGCCTGTAACATTGAGGAGGAGCGCTACTCAGAAAGGGTCTATACCATACGGGAAGGAGAAACACTAGAACTGACCTGTCTGGTCACAGGACATCCACGTCCACAGGTGAGTCCCGAACTGTGACATTGAGGAAAACTCTCTTTGATCTTTCTTGGAAGTCAAAAATGTATATTTTAGAAGATTTAGCTAAAAAATCGTGTGTGTGTGTTTGTGTGAGAAATTCAAGTAATTGTGTGTGTGCAATGCAGGATAAGGGTGGTGATTGCTGAACATTCATGCTTGTCGTACTCACTTGGGTAAGGTGAAGAAAGAAATTTTTGTTTTGGTATTGTGAGAAATTTGGAAGACACTTCTAAGGAAGCTGTTAAAAGACAACTACAAAAATATCTCAGTCAGATAACAATTCATATGGCAATGAGTTTATTTTAGAATGTGGAGCATGATTTCATGATGACATAATTGCAGCCGAAGAAGCATTTGTTCTGAAGAATGTGGTGCACGAGGTCCCATGTACTTTCCTTCCTCCTAGTCATTATATTCATAGAAAACTTTAAAAACAAATGTTTGCAGGTGTATGCATTCACTTTCAGAGTCTTCTGCTACAGCTTTTATAAGCTACCTTAATAGCAGGAACAGAAATTGAGACTTTTCAAAGGGCACTAAAATTATAAATAATAAGCAGAGAAAAAGTTTGTAGGAGTGAAAGAAAGGGTTAGGCAGAGGGTAATATAGTGTGTATTTATGATGTAAAAATTCAGTTCCAATATAATACAGAATATTCAGGATGTCTTAGTCATTAATTGCCAATTCTTACCGTCATATATTTAACCTGTCTAATTCAAAATATACACCGGTAATCAACACAAACACTACAATGGAAAAGAGGTCTCATTTGGTAGCAAAGTTACATATTTTAAGTATTAGTGTTGCAGGAAGAAAAAAAAAAATCCAGCTAACACCACTGCATAGAAGAAAGTAAAGAGCAATGTGGAGATTTTATGAACTCATCATTTTAATCTTGTCTTTTGCTCCTACCATCCTTAACTCTTACTACTCAAAGAGGTTCAGCCTTACCATTTGACCCAAGTGACAAATAAAAATAAGCATATGAACTTCACAGAATGTAGCAAAAGATTGGTAGATAAGACCATGACTAGAACTAAAATGGTAAAATATGTTTAATAAAAATGCTACACTGTTAGTAAAAAGTAATCTAGAAAAAATAGTTACTAAAATAGTTATTATTAAAAATAATATTAAAAATTAAAATTCACAGTGGCTTAAATTGCAAATTATAACATTTGCTTTTAACTGAAAAATAATGAATAAAATTATCTTCCCTTAAGATTAGGAATTTCTTATTTTCTCCATACATTTTCTCTGTAACGATTCACAATCTGGAGTGTAATCTCTGATGTCTGGCCAATCCAAAATAAGTTCTGGAACAAGGAATAGATTATTACCTTATTTTATTTTTTCTAAGCAATTCCATTGCTGGAACAATTTCAATGTGTTCTGACCCTCGGAAAAATTTATTTCAGTAGTGTTATTTCTTCATTCCTAGAAGTTAATTCAGGTATTTGCAGGTGAGTCAGTTTCAGTTTCTGTTGCCTGTTTGAAAAATTAACTGGGCCTCTTCTTTGTCAATAAACTGTATAAGGAAAGCTGACAGAACAGCTGGGCTCTGGCATCCTGGCCAAACACTAAAGGGCATGCTGGTGGCAGCTGGTCCTGAGGGTGGGTTTTCTTGTCTGATATCATGAAGCTGGAATGTCTTTCTTGCCTCTTTGTCTAACATGAATATAATAGTTGGGAATGCTGTGGGAGAGAGAGGCTCCTCACTGCACTCTTCAGGAGATTTCTCTATCTGTTGCCTATTCTTATGGCAACCAGAATCATAAAGTCTCCATTTCTAGAAGTATTCAAGCATTTTTTTCTAGATTTTAAAAAATTTTCTTCAAAAATATATCGTCTGGCAATATGTAATGACCTGAGAGTACTATTGCATCCAAGGGAAATAAATGAAGGAGAGGAAGGTACAATGCCGTGGTTCATAGCATGGCACTGGAACCAGAATGCCTGGATATAACCCTGGATCCATGGGGCCTGCTGGTGTGACCTTGGGAAAGTTCCTCAACCTCTTGGCTCTCTCTGTCTCAGGTTTCTTATCTATATAAAAGGGATGATGGTAACCATCATGCTTAGATCATAGACTCCTTTCGAGAGTTAAATGTAGATTGTAAATATATAAGTATATGTATTATGTATATACACATATATATGTGTATGTACTTGGCATGTAATAAGCATTATGTAGACACATAATAAAACATATGCTTGATTTTTATTGTTTCTAAGCAATTTATACTTAGACTCTAATGTCTAGAATTGAATATGTAAGTATCAAAATAAGTAGATTGAAAAAAAATGGTTCTTAGCTTACAGTCTACTTTAAATTAGATGCATTTAAATAAATTTCAGTATTCCTGTGTTTTAATACTCTGCAGAACCTTTACATCTCTGCTAATTACCTTTTTTTTTTTTTTAGCTTGCATGGACTAGAACTATGTTCAGACTACTTCATTTAATGAGAGTTTGTTATAAAGATAGATGGAGAGATAAGAAAGAAGGGAGGTAAAGATTTGTTGGTAAACCGACCAACCTAATATTACCTCTAGATGCCCACAATTTCAGGATTCAGCTACCCACTCTCTTTCTCTTCCTTATTTTCTTTTTCCCTCCCTCCCTCCCTTTCTCCCTTCTCTTCCTTCTTTCCTTCCTCTCTACTCTTTCATTATTATCACATTAATACCAAATGAATTGTGAATATAGTTATCTTGTTAATGACTTAAACAATGAGATATTTAACTTGAATATTCCCCATCACTCTCCCACCACCTCCCAGAAGTTAACATTAAATAGTTGGATGTATTATCTTGCAGTCCTTGTTTAGTACATTTCCATAAATATGATTAATATGTTAATGTTTTATTTTCATTTTTAAATTAGATAATGAAAAATATTATTCTGTGACTAGAATTTTTCACTTGGCCATGTGTCCAAATCAGCAAGTATAGATCCAGCGTAGTGGTTCTCAATGGTCAATCCCTGGAGAGAACCGGTTAGAAATGAAAGTTCTTGTGCCCATCACGTCAGAAGCGCCTGTGCTGGGGCCAGCAATCTGTGTTGTCACAAGCCCTCTGGGTGATTCTGATGTACACTAAAATTTGAGAAGCACCAACTTAGAGCATTATCCTCACAAAGGCTGAATTGTACTCTGTATGCATGCACTAGATATAAGTAATTGCTGCTCTTTTGTTCAAAATTGAATTACTTATAGATTTTTACTATAACCAATAATAGTTTAGTGAACACTTCTGGAATGTGTATATGTTTATGCACATCTTTATTACATGTATGCCAGCATCATTGTAGGATAGTTTCCTTCTTCAAAATGGAATTTAGCCAAAGTTGAAAGTGACTTTTACTTACTTCCTTGGTATAAGTGAATCTTTAATATTAATTTTTGCCAATTTGATGTGAGAGGGTGAATTACACTCCAGTGAAGTTTAAATTTTCATTTTCTTAATTACTAGTCAATTTGAACATATTCCCACACATGTATCAATCATTTGTTCATCTTCTTCATCTAGTGATTATTTTTATCTACTTCTCTTTTCTTATTGGTTAGCTGCTTGTCTTCTGGTGGCCCTGCAGGGACTTTTTATGTGCTATAAAAATAAATTCAGTGTCTGCAAAATATGTTGCAAATTTTATCTACTAGAAAATATTTGTCTTTTAATATTGTTTATGTTACTTTTACCCAGAGATTTTTGTTTTTTAAAAGACGGATCATTTTAATCTTTTCAACTTTGGTTTCCAAATTTTGTCCCTAGTTTAGTAGATATCTTTCATATCAGTGTATCTTACATTGTGTGCTTTCTTTTTAAATAACAGCTTATATAGTTGCTTATATACTTGATGATTTAATCATTAGGAAACATGTTGTCTATAGTGTGAATATTAGTCTAGTGTTCTCTCTCTTCTTCCCTCTGCCCTAATCCAGACAAGATAGTTAACATTCTACCCTACATAATAAAACATATGCTAGATTTTTATTGTTTCTAAGTAACTTAGACTCTAAGTATAACTCTAACAATACAAACGCTATCTTTAAAATGCTATTTTTTCCTCTTTTTTAAAAAAATTGACGTACAATTGACATAGAACATTATATTAGTTTCAGGTGTACAATGTAAAGATTTGGTGTTTGTAAACATTGAGAAATGATCACCACAGTTAAGTCTAATTAACATCTGACCCATACATGGTTATACAAAATTTTTCTTGTGATGAGAACTTTTAAAAACATTCTAACATTATATAATGCTTAATGTTAAACATTAAAGCATTTTTAAAAGTTCCTAAAATTCTGTATTTATCATGAACAAAATTGCATTATTCTATCATTCTAGTTATCCCTTCTTATATGGTGTCATGCTATTTTAATTTCTGTAGCTTTATTTTATGCTTTGCTATATAGGAAAGCAAGTCACTCTTTTGTTGTTGTTTTTCAGTATTTCCTTGATTGGCCTCAAGCATTTTTCTCTTTTCTTTGATGTTGAAAATGAGCTTTTCATACCCCCCACCCAAATAAATGCTGAAATTTTAATTACATTTCATTTTTCTTGCCATGAAACCATGTGGTAGAAAGTATGGAAAACTTCTACAAAGAACTTCTCAGTAGGACACTTTGAATATTTCAAACTTCTCAAACAGGAAGACCTATTGTAATCAGTATAATGTAAAGGTCTTTGAATTTGGTTCAATAAAAAATATGGGTATGCATATTTGGGAGACTTTCTTTCTCTTTTCAAAGACAAAACAAAACAAAAATGAAAATGTGCATCAAACCAAAATAGCTCTACATTTATGTGTTCTATATGCTGGCTTTTTGGGTAAGATTTCTTTTGAATATTCTCATCACTAAAATATTTTTGAAAATCATTCTTTGAAAAAATTATGTATATCCAAAATACTACCCTAAGAAACATTAAAATTGTCTACTAGTTTATTACAGCTCGTCCTTAGAGATTGTTTGTGTT